AGCCTGTTGAGCTCCCGCTTGGCGAGGTTGTTGATCTCCAGGCAATACAGACATACTGACCTCACCAAGGCCTTCCACAATCTGATCTTCAACTTGGGGCTGAACCCGCTCTTGAAAGCACGACGAAGCAGACGAGAATGAGTGGAGTTGGCGGCCCTGATTCGACTAGTGACCTCCCCCTGGTGCGAGCCCGTCGCCGACAGCTGGACGCCCGAATACTTCACATACGGCTGCGGGCGCAATGGGAAATAGTCGTCCTCCTCCCACGTCACAATGCGGGTGTTCTGCGCTCGAATATCCTTCATCCTTTTCTTGCTCCCAATTCCCGACGGCGTGAGCAGCAACTCCGTCTTTCTGGGGTTGACTCGCATACCTCCACCGCAGATCTCACCCTGCAAGACCTCCAAAATGATGGACGCATCGTCAAACTCCTCAATCTCAGCGAACGTGAGCAGGTCGTCCAGGAACTTTAGCTGGGACACGTCTATCTCCTCGCACTCTTCCTCCTTCAGGCTGTCATTGTTGCGGAGCTTCCTCAGCGTGGGGTCGAAGAATGCTCTGACTGCCGTGACCTCCTGCTGGCGGAGTTCGTGCGAGATGCGATATACTATCCCATCATAGACTGCCACGAAAAGCCAAGGACTCTCAACTCCCCCTTGCCGTGCACCTTTCTTGACCCTGATCCTCGCCACTGGCTCGTGCGTCGTCACATCGCGGAACAAGTAGCACATGCCTTCATGGAGCTCTTCCAGTGTAACTCGCGCATCCCAGCGGACTTGCAACGCCTCCAACGCCTCCCAAATCTTATCCCTGGGAACCGCGTCGAACGCCTTCTCAATGTCGGCGAGGACCGCCAGCAGCATCGGTGGGGGCTTAGAAGAGCGCCCACGCCGTCTGGCTCGATGGGCACGCTGATGTCGAACAATTACTTCACTTGCCACTGCAACTGCGCCCCGCGCACCTCGCCCAGGCATGGCTCCAAACTGCGTCGGGGAAATATTGCGTGCTACTTCTCGCACCGCCTCGTGCGTGGTGACCTTAGCGCGCGCTTTCCCCACATGACTGACCAAGTTGATGGTCCCGTAGCCTTTTGACGCCGAACACCCGTCACCCTTCGGCTTACGCAACTGCATGGCGTCGCCGTCCTTGAACCTCTGAGGGGCATCACCCAGCGCCTGCGCTGCGTTGAAGACTTGCATGATGGGCGGTGCAAGAGAGTCGATCGCCAGCTTCCAAGATTCAGCAACAGCACCACCAGGCGGGCCCCTCAACGGCCACCTGAGCGTAGAACCGCCCTTCAAATTGGGCAGCTCCATGATGCTTGCCTTCGCCGCTGCCATGTCGTAGCTGCCAATCCTGCCGTCGTCGCGCTCCTTCCTGCCGACCATGGGAGGGCGCGCGTCTAGCTCCATCGCCTGGCCCTCGCATATGTCACAGATGCTCTGAATGCGCACGCGCTGGTCGTCCACTGCGTCGAAGCATGGCAGGCCTGTGGCTGGATCCTTCACCGCTCCAATGGGTGCCGCAGGCTTGGGTGCAAACTTGTTCACGGTGTTGTGTAGGCGCCTTAGGTTCCTTTGGCTTGCCGCTCTCTCTGCCACTGCCGCCATCTCCGCCGTCCTGTGCCGCTTCTCGCTCCTGATCGCCGCTGCCCTAATATTCGCCGCTTCATTAAACCGCTCCTGTAATAGCGTCCTCATCCACCTTGCGCCTTCAGGAAGAGCTGCCAGTTGGTACTGCCAGTACTGTTTAGTCTGAATCAGCTTCACCGTCTCATCTCCGAACACTGGGCCATCGCCTTTCCCCGTCACAGGTGGTGAGATGTAGTCCTGCAAAGCCGCCTCGATCACTACTCCCTCGAGCTCGTTGAAATACTCCGACGGCGACTCGTACTGCTTGCCCTTACCGCACACATCTGCCCAGTCCTCATAGAGCCCCTTGCACTCGAGCCCCTCCTGAACCTTGAGTCTGAAGTTGAGCGCGCGTTTCGGAAGCTGCTCCTGGTTGTCGAGATCCGCCTCTGCTTGCTGCACCTTCAGCAGGTCTGCACTCATGAGCTCCCGCCGCCACCGAAATTTGCCAACTTCCTTCACCGTCTTGGCCTTCACCCCAACATAGATCTGTGCCTCCAAAGGTCTGTGGTCCATGTAGCCGCCCAAGTTCACATGTAAATCGGCCCTTGGATGAGCAGAGTGTCCATATCCCCCTTGCCTTCGCACCAGCACGTAGTCTATCGTCGTCCAACCTCCTTGTGGGCTCTTCCACGTGCCATTGGATCGCCCCCTTTTTCCCGAACGTGTTCAGCGCCATGAGCCCGTAGTCCTCCATCAGGCCCATCAGCTCGTGACCGTTGCCGTTGATCGCTGGCCCCGTCCTGCGCACACCTGCAAACCCCACCCAAGGCAGCATCGGCGGGACGCGTGCGTTCGCGTTGAGCGTGATGACCAATGAGGCCCGCGCAGGCACCTGACCAACAGCTCGCCGACATACTTGCCAGAACGTGTCTCTGGCCTCCAAGTGCTTCTCGCGATACTCCATTGCTTCAACTCCCTTAGGAACGTGGCCAGCCTCATTCGTGGGTGCGTAACCGTTCAGCACGTATATGTCGCGCTCGTACCTGCGCTTGTTGATGCTGCGAAGTCGCACTCCCTGTAGTTTACCTTCCAACCAAGCATGCTCACATCTGACCTCCCCCTTCTGGAAGAACTTCAAATTTATCGCAGTGAGGCATCCGTCTCGCTGACCTTTGCCCGATCTCGCCAAGGAGTGAACCTCGAAGCTGCCCGACTTCCATGTCTTGCCTAAGTCCATCTGCGTGCCTTGCATCGTGAAAATGACCACGTCCTCAGCCCTTGCCAACTCTAACAACTCATCCATCCTCCCGACTCTCCGCAGCGACTCCACGTTGAAGCTCCACACCTTCAGTGCACGTTGCTTCCATGCGGATCGCTGTCTTGCTTGACACGTGTTTCTCTCCAACTTCTCACATACTCGTTCATCTGCTCGATGTGGCGTCTGGGTCAGCTCCGCGACACTCTCGGGAGAGACCAGCTGCGCGGCTGAGGCTCGTGTGATCTTCTGTCCACGGTACCAGGCCGCACCCACCACCAGCGCAAGCCGCGCTGCACGCCTCAGGGCACGCTTGCCACGCATCGCCCGTACGCCCTTTTTCCAGCAACACGTCAGGCCAAACTCGGTGTTGCCGTCCTCGCGGGTCGGGCAGCCCGCGAACGCCCACCTCGCAGTAGTCACCGAAGCTCTCCCCCTCCGCGGCGTGCAGCACCCAACATGGCGCGGCCGTCAGGGGGCAAGCACTGGCCAGGACTTGCGACCTGGCACGACCGTCGCTGCGACGCAACGTCTTGAGCCGTCGAGGCTTCCGCCCGCCTTCCGCCGCCTTCCGCCGGCAGGGGCGGCCGCGCCCACAGCTCCCGCCGCCCGCCGCCCGCCTTCCGCCGGGGCCCCTCCCCCGGAGCGCGCCGCGCGGGGCGCTGCCTGGAGCGCGCCCCTTCGATCCTCGAGGGCGAGCCCCCCTCTCTGGAGGGCGCCGGCGTTTTCTTACTTCGGCGTTCTGGCACTGGGCGGACGAGCGCAGGGGGGGGAGGAGGAGGAGGAGGAGGAGGAGGAGGAGGAGGAGGAGGAGGAGGAGGAGGAGGAGGAGGAGGAGGAGGAGGAGGAGGAGGAGGAGGAGGAGGAGGAGGAGAAGGAGGAGGAGGAGGAGAAGGAGGAGGAGGAGGAGGAGGAGGAGGTGGAGGTGCAACGTTTTCTTCCTTCGGCGTTCCGGCATTGGGCGGACGGGCGCCGGGGGGGGGGGCGGGCTCCGGCTCCGGACCTCTGCTCCGTGCGCCCGTTTGCAGCGGGGCGTCCGTTAGGGGGGAGGCTGCGCCTGCCCGGAAAAAACGGCGCCCGAAGCGGCCAAGATCTGCTCCATTGGGGGGGGGAGCGGGCGGGGTGCGAGGGCCCGCGCTGGTCGGCAAAGCAATGGATACGTAGACGACGACGAGCGGGCGTGGAGGAGGAGGAGGAGGAGGAGGAGGAGGAGGAGCATGAGGAGGAGGAAGAGGAGGAGGAGGTGGAGGAGGGAAAGGAGGAGGGGGAGGAGGAGGAGGAGGGAGGAGGAGGAGGAGGATGAGGAGGAAGAGGAAGAGGAGGAAAAGGAGGAAGAGGAGGAGGAGGAGGAAGAGGCGGAGGAGGAGGAGGAGGGGGAGGAGGGGGAGGAGGAGGAGGAAGAGGAGGAGGAGGAGAAAGAGGAGGAGGGGGAGGAGGAGGACCACTGTAAACCCAAGAGTCATCAACGATGTTGGAAGAAACCCTCCCTCCAAGCTCCCTCGTCGTAGGCCCTTACAACGGTTCATGACCATTGAAGGAACTGCCGATTTGCCCTGTAGCATGCCAAAGCATGGTTCTCAGGATTTCAACACCACGGATCAAGCGGACTGTTGCGTCTTGACAATCCTGAATCGCAGCAGAACGCGAGTCCTAGGACTTCAACCCAACGAATCCAGATAGTTGTTGCACCCGCATGATCCTGAATCTTTTCGAAACACCATCCCTGCCACGCTGATGATAGGAATCCGTGAAACCCTTGTACATTGTGTAAAGGAATGTGCGCGGCACGATTGCGAGAGCCACATGTTGAAAGCGACCCGCCATCAATCCGTGAAACTGCCGCATTTGGTATAAAAAACGAATGTGCACCGCGGTGCGAATTTTGTAAACGAATGTGCGCCGCGCTAAGGCTAGAGCCACATGTTGAAATCATGTTCGGGTTAAACCCCTGCCCCAGAAAGGAAAGTGGAAAGCAGCATGGCAGTTTAGCATGGTCGTTGGGTGCAGCATGCAGCACGGCCGGCCGGCAGAGAGACAGACCGGAAACGTTTTTTGGCTCAGGAGCGCAGGGGAGAAGAAGCAGTACTCCCTCAACATGGTAGCGGAGCCTGGTCAGATCTGAGACAAGCGGGTGGCTCCGTGGTCTCAGGTTCGGCTGGGCTCATCTGTGCATGGGCAAACAGAGACTTCGATCGGCAGAGTCGAGGTCCAACCGACAACTACGAGGCTCGGCGCTGCGGCGACACGCAGCGGGCGAGCAGCCATCCACAGAGGAGCAGAGGGCCTTGAACCTGAAGCGCCTCGAGAAGGAGACCGACGACGACCTCGACGAGCTCCACAGTGGAGGAACAAGTCAAAGCAGCGTTCGGAAGACTCCAGCGCTTGGAGGACGGGAGCACGCAGCTGCAGGAACAGCTCAGGAAGGACGAGGACGACGAGGCCAGGAAGGAGGAGGCCGACGACACCAAGAGGAGCGAGGCCGCGGCTCGTGCGAGAGCTGCCCCGCTGGTCCCGACCAGCGTGGACACAAGGCTCCTCCTCCTCCTCCTCCTCCTCCTCCTCCTCCTCCTCCTCCTCCTCCTCCTCCTCCTCCTCCTCCTCCCCCTCCACAAGCCAGGCGAGTTCCGCGGGAAGGATGCAGACTGGCCGAGGTGGTCTCCGACCGTGCGAGCCCACCTCGGAGCAGTTTCCGGCCGGATGCTGGAGCTCATCCAGAAGGCGGAGAGCTTCGACGAGGGCCTCGACAGGGTGGACCTGGACCCGGGCGACGACCAGCTGGACGCACAGCTGTACGTCATCCTGACGATGCCGGAGTTCGAGCCGAAGTTCGCGTCTCGCAAGATGGCCCTGCAGCAGGCGTACCTCAGCTTCACGTTCAACAAGGACGAGGACCCGCGGAAGGGCATCGACAGGCTCGAGACGCAGATCCGCCAATACCAGGCCGACACCAAGAAGACCGTCGACGACGACACCCGGACCGGAGTGCTGTTGAAGGCGCTGGCCGGCGGCAGCGAGTTGCAGAAGAAGTTGGGCGACCACCTCGTTCTCAACGCGTACCGCGTGGACACCTTCATCGAGATGAAGAGGGAGATCCAGGAGTACCTCGGAGTCAAGCAGTGGCTCGTCCCTGGCGGTTCGGCGGAAGTCCTGGCCGTGGGAGCCGGCGATAAAACTAGCCAGAAGAACCAGGTAAAGGGCGAGCTCAAGATCAAGTTCGCCGGAGATTGCTACTGCTGTGGCAAGCCTGGCCATAAGAAAGTAGACTGCTGGTGGAATCAAGAGAGAAAGCCACCGCCGTCGAGCGCTGGAAAAGGACGAGGAGGAGGAGGAAAAGAAAAGGAGGAAGAAAAGGGGAAAGGACGAGGAGGAAAAGGTAAGGGAAAGGATAGCAAAGGAGGAGGAAAGGATAGCAAAGGAGGAGAAGACAGGGATCAGAGCAGGAAGAGGCCGAGGTTGGACATCGCTGCGATCGAGGAGCAGATGCGGGCGCTCAGCCTGAGCATCGGCGCGCTGAAGGACCAGGACTGTGGGAGCGTGGAGCTGTGCCGGGTCTCCGAGACGCAGGAGGTCGGCATGGTCCACGCCCAGACGGCGACGAACCGCGTAACGATGGGCCTCGACAGCGGCGCGGAGGTCACGGTGTGGCCCCCAGAGCTCTTCCCGCAGGTGGCCACGGAGGAGAGTCCAGAATCTCGTCGGGGAGTGAAGTATTTTGGGCCAGGAGATCATGAAGCCCCTAGCCTTCCCAGTCTTGGGCGACGGCGGTACGATTCGAGGACAGGAGGTTTGAGGAGGAGCGCCAACGTGAACGTGGTACTGGTGAGGAAGCCTCTGCTGGCGATGTGCTCGATGATGGACGGCGGCCACGACCTGCATTTCAAGTGCGGCGGCCGGTGCTACGCCAAGCACTGCAAGACCGGGAAGGAGATCGAGATCACACGTCGAGGAGGTAAATTTGAGATCGACGCCGAGGTCGTGCTGCCGCCGCCACCCCCCTTCGGGGGGCCGGCGAGTCCGTAAGTCCCCTGGAGTCCGGCTCAGGAAGGGCAGGCGGCAACAATGCCGTGCCTGAGCCGAGTAGTAGCCCTATGGAGGAGGATGGGACGGACGAGCAGCAGGAGGAGGAGCAGCAGCAGAAGCAGCACATCGAGCACGCGATCTTCGGGACTCGGGGAGGCGGCGTGCCGGCGATGATGGCACCGAACCTCCCGACGCCGGAGGAGAGAGCGAGGCATGAGATCGATCACATGCCCTACGCTGCTTGGTGCCGTAGCTGCGTGGCTGGCAAGGGTAAGGCGGACCCACACTTCCTGAAGACCTCCGACGACTTGGGTGTCCAGGGAGTGGCTTGTGACTACTGCTTCATGGGTGACGCCGTCGAGAGCGACAAGGCTACCGACAAGTGCTTGCCCATCCTTGTCCACAATTTCTACGGCGATCGCTGGGTATCGGCACGCGTGGTTCCACGCAAGGGTCCAGAGACGTACGCTGTGAAGGCCACGGTGGACGACGTGATGCAGGCAGGCTTCGGCTAATTTACCTACAAGAGCGACGGGGAGCCTGCGATCGAGTCGCTCAAGCAGGAGGTGGTGAAGAAGTTACGGAAGGTTGCTGGCCCTGTGGACGTCATCTTGGAAGAGAGCAGCACGTCCGAGTCGCAGCAGAATGCTGTTGTCGAGCGTGCTATCTGGGAGGTCCAGAGCACGGCTCGCACCCTAGTGCACGCGTGCTTGGAACATCATCGCGTCCAGGTGCCCCTTAAGCACCCTCTGAGGATCTATGCCGTGGAGTACGCAGGGCAACTACTGAACAGGTCCCAGCCTGCCGCCAAGGACAGCAGGACCGCCTGCGAGATACGCAAAGGCAAGACCTATCGCCGGAAGCTGCCTCCATTCGGGGAAGCCGTGATGTACATGCCAATGTCGACGGCACGGCGGCGACGGAAGTTCGAGGACAGGTGGGAGACCGGCATCTACTTGGGGCTGGTGGAGCGCAGCAACATGTTGCTCGTCGGCACGCCCCGCGGCGTCTTCAAGGTGAACTGCGTGAAGCGGTTGCCGGAGATCCAGTCCAGCGATCCGGAGCTCTTGAAATCCATCGTCGGGGTCCCCTGGGACCCAGTACCTGGAGAACCAGGAGGCCAAACCGTCGACTACGAACCCCTCCGGGCAACTGAACCAATCGTCCCTGAGGCGGAGTTGCCCCCACGAGTTCCGAAACGAAGATCTCCGGAAGTTATTCCGAGAAGATTTTACATTCGTCGTGAGGTTGAGCTTCGAGCATACGGTTTCTCAGATAATTGTCCTGGATGTGCAGCGGCATTTGAAGGCCGACCAGCACGCCTTCACACACAGGAGTGCCGTAACAGGATCGAGGCGGCGATCTTGGCGGACGAGAGGTCCGAGGTTCGACATCGAGTCGAAGAAGCCCATCGTCGACGAGGTGAGGCAGGAGCACCACCAGACAGACGACCAGGGGGAGCACAGGTTCTACGACCAGGCGAAGTCGCAGGAGAGGCGCCGACGGAGGCGGGTAGCCCCGCGCCGTCGGACCAGCCAGGGAGCGCGCCGGAAGCGGGTAGCCCCGCGCTGGCTGACGCTCGGAGACAGCCGGGGAGCGCCCCGGAAGCGGGTAGCCCCGCGCCGGCGGACGCTCGGAGCCAGCCGGATTCGCCAGAAGCGGGTAGCACCGTGCCGGCTAGCAGTCCAGGCCAGGCTCAGGCACCCCCTCGAGCAGAAGCGGGTAGCACCGCACTGCGGAGAGGTGAGGTCAGGGCTGGGGACGACCCAGCAGGTAGTCCGCACGATCGGGCTGCCAAGAGGGCGCGACGCGAGGTCGCGGAGGTTGTGGGCGAGCTGATGCACCTGGGAGCGGCTATCGGGCCGCGGCTGCAGGAGGCGATCCAGCAGCCTAGCAAGGACGACGTCGACGTTATCGAGTCGGAAAAGTTCTGCAGGAAGCGGTTCACTGACCAGGCGTCCTGGTGGGGAGTGCACCCCGGGGTCGCACTAGATCTGACTACGGGTTGGGATCTTGATGACCAGACGCACGTGGAGCAGGCGGAGGGCCTTCGGGGCACTGTCCGTCCCAAACTGTTGATTGGGCATGCGCATTTTGGAACGAATCGCAGCCTGTACCACGGACAGCTGCAAGACGGACACTACTTCCTCCACGAGCACATGGACGGTGCCGCCCCTGTCCACGAGCAGGGGGAGAAGGAGGGAGAGGAGGAGGAGGATGGTATCCATCTGCTGGGGCATGAGAGCGTCCAGCATGTGAAGGCCGGAAGGGCCGCAGGATGGTTGACCAACTCTGGATGTATAGCCGAGGAGCTCACGAAGCTCCAGGGCAACGACAACGAAAATGCCACCAGAAGCGCGGGGGCCGTGAGTCCCGCCGCGGAGAATAGGCCGGCCATAGTGGCGGCAGTGTTGCGGGGTCTGCGCAGGCAGCTGCAGCAGGACGGCGCGGTCAGCATCAACGCCCTGGAGCCGGGCCTGACCGGCCACGACACCCAGGAATGGGACGAAGACGGGCTCGAGCAGTTCTTCGACGAGCTGACGGGCGAACGGCTGAGGCCGAAGGACGTCAGGGAGGTCAAAGTCAAGGAAATTGAGTTTCTTCGTACTTTCCCCGTCTATGAGGAGGTGCCGGAGGCGATGGCCAAGGGCAAAAGGTTCATCTCGACACGGTGGACCATAACCAACAAAGGGGATGTGAACGCACCAGACGTTCGAGCTAGATTCGTCGGGCGCGAGTTCAAGTGGAAGTCGCCGGCGATGGAGAACACTTTTGCCGCGACTCCACCACTGGAGCAGTTGAAGTACCTGTTGTCCCGGTTCCAGTCGCGCAGGAGGGGTCCAGCCAGGAGCCCCGGAGAGCGAAAGATCCTAGTCTTGGACGTCTCTCGAGCGCATTTTCATCCAAAGTGCCGCCGGGAGCTGTACATCCGGCTGCCAGAAGAGGACGCTCAGGCAGGCTTCGCCGGCAGATTGATGCGCACCCTGTACGGGACACGGGATGCAGCAAAAGCCTGGGACGAATTCTTCAACGAAGCGATCGTCAGGCGCGAGTACGAGGTGGGGCTGTCATCACCTTGTCTGTACTATTGCGCTGCCGAGGACAGTGCTGGGTGGCGCCACGGAGACGATTTAGTTTTCGAGGGGCCTGATGAGTGGTTAGACTGGCTCGGAGAGTGCCTCCGGAGCGTGATGATCCTGAAGAGACGTGCGAAGCTTGGCTGGGACACAGCAGACGACAAGCACGTGACCATCCTGAACGGGTTGGTGGACTCGAACGATGCGTCTCGGGTGGTTTCTCTTGTAACCCGACCCGCGCCATGTTGACTTACTCCGTGGCCTGGCTGGTTTCGACGGCCGGTCGAAGTCCGTGACGACACCAGCCGACAAGCGGCTGGAGGACATGCACGACGAGGAGCCCCATAGGCCGAGGGCGGGCGACAGCGTTCCGACCCGCAACAGTGAGAGGCTAGCTGATCTCGCTGCAGACGACCCCGGTGTGCGGGCTCAGCGCACACCGGCTGGCGAGAGTCATGGCTGAGCCAACGGTTGGGTCTTGGGCACGCTCGAAGAGATGCTTGAGATACCTTCACGGTCACGGCCGGTGGAGCCAGCATTTCCCGTTGCAGGACCGGCCCAGCAGGATCGACGCGTACGCAGACGGCGACCGGGCTCAGGACCCTGATCGAAAGAGCGCGTCTTGTGTAGTCACCATGCACGGCGCGCAGTGTCTGCGAGTGCAGGTGGCGACCCAGACGGCCCCTGCATTGAGCTCTGGCGAGGCGGAGTTTGTGGCCCAGGTCAAGGGCGGCTCCACCGCCATCGGCATGAGATCGATGATCCGAGACATGGGGGGACAGGTGTCCATAGACTTGCACACCGACAGCACGGCAGGCAAGGGCATCGCGTCAAGAGTGGGCTTGGGCAAGGTCCGTCATCTTGACACGGGCTTGCTCTGGCTACAACACCACGTCAATCGCAGAGACCTCCGGATCAAGAAGGTGCACTAGGACGAGAACTTGGCGGACATCGGGACGAAAGCCGTCAGCGTCATAGTGCAGGAGACTTTGATGTTGGTGAATTTCAGAGAGGCCACAGGACGGCACCCGAAGGCACTGAAGATTGCCAGAGAAGCGGTCGAGCCGGAAGCGGGCAGCACCGCGCTGGCCGACGAGCACGACTGAGAGCGACCTTTCTGCGACCATGGGCGCTTGAGTTCAGAATGGCAGCGGTTAGAGCGTGGCCTGTCCTGCGAAGACAGGATGCGGCCAAGGAGGGGCGTTCGGGTTAAACCCCTGCCCCAGGAAGGAAAGTAGGAAGCAGCATGGCAATTTAGCATGGTCGCTGGGTGCAGCATGCAGCACGGCCGGCCGGTAGAGAGACAAACCGGAAACGTTTTGGCTCAAGAGCGCAAGGGAGAAAAAACAATACCCCCTCAACAAATCAACCCACCCGCAATCCGTCAAACTCTTGCAAATGTTGTAAACGAATGCGCGCCGTGCTAAGGCGAGAGCCACATGTTGAAAACGACCCGCCCTCAATCCGTGAAGCCTTGTAAACGTTGTAAACGAATGTGCGCCGCGCTAAAGCGAGAACCACATTTTGAAACTGACCAACCCTCCATGTGTGAAGTTGATCACTGTTTAAGTAAGCTTCAGGATCATAACCGGTGAGGAAGCCTCAAGCGCAACGCCCAGCCCGCACTGAACACTTGCCTCGGAGTGCGACAAGGAGAAGTTGTTGACAAGGAAAAGAAATGGAGGATAAAGACGAAGAGGAGGAGGAAGAGGAGGAGGAAGAGGAGGAGGAGAAAGAGGAGGAGGAGGAAGAGGAGAAAAACGGAAACGAGGAGGAGGAAGAGGAGGAACAGGAGAAAGAGGAGGAAGAGGAGGAGGAGGAGGAGGAGGATAATTAGGAGAAGGAAGAAGAGGATGAGGAGGAGGAGGAGGAGGAAGAGGGGCAGAGGGAGGGAGGAGGAGGAGGAAGAGGAGGAGGAGGAGGAGGAGGAGGAGGAGGAGCAGGACGCGGAGGGGGTGGGGGAAGAGGAGGAGGAGGAGGAGGAGGAGTTCTCTCTTTCTCTCTCTCTCTCTCTCTCTCTCTCCCCGCCCATTCAAACCAAATCCCACAAACCGTTTCAAGGAAAATTGATCCTGGGCTGGGGGGGGGGACAGCTGTGCATTCCCATCCCTCCCTGGTGATTTGCAAGCCTGCGAGGGCTGATGCCCGCAGACTGGGGCCAGCGCGGGGGTGCGGCACGATGCCGAAAGGCCACTCACGACGCCAGGACCCAGCACAACACGAACGAGTCAGCCACATCTGTGAACCACACCTTGCGATGCTCCTCCGCGGCGTCATCGATGATGAGGTTTTCAATCTCTGACATCGGGGTGGGGAGGAAGGTGTCATTGTCATCTGTGGGTTCATACTCAACTAGGTACTTCACTGCGTCATCGATGTAGACGCCATACTAGACATGGAATGTATGATCTGGCCCCTGCCGAGGAACAACTATCCCCGTCATGAGGGAACTGCGGCAAGGGCCTCGACTGTGTGAATGGCTCACTTACGTCCCCGAGCTCCACCTCCAAGCTGTCTCACCATGTTGCCTCTTGGGGCCCGCCCTCCAAGTAGCTGACCGCACATGCTCCTCAACGCCTCCGCGAAAACGGTCTCGACTGGCACGAGCGTTCCCTGCAGCTTGTACAGCTCCGTCGGCTTCTCCGTCGGGCTGAGGCTGTGCAGCTCGCTGTCCTTCTCTTCCACCGCCTTCAGGAGTGTCTCGTTCACTGCCTGATCCTTGGAGAGCAGCACCTCCCCGTGGAAACTGTACATAATGCGGACCTTGCTCTCCTTCCCTGACTTGTCGAACGTCGGCAGCACCATCAGCTCTAGGATCCACTTCTCCGCGTCCTGGGGTGCGCCGTGCTCCAACATGGCCTGCAGTCGCCTGAGCGCCGCTAAGACGCTCTGGAGGCGGGGGGAGGCGCCCTTGCGCTCGTAGCTCGAGATAGCGTCGGGAGCCCCGAAAAGGCAGTGGAACGCTGGCGTGCCTATGTCTGCCCCCTTTCCGCCGCCTCCTTGCGTTTCTGCATGAAGGCCTGGAAGCTGTCGCCGATGGCCTTCACGATCGGCGTTTTCTTGGCGATGAGCGATGTGCGGTGCGCTTCGTTCTCGAGCGCGCGTACTCGGCCTTCCAACTGGATCAGCAGCGCCTGCATGGTGGCCATCGTGCTGTCCACCTCGTCCTCGTCCTCGTCCATCCCGTCTGCCCCTGTCCTGTGCTTCTTGGACGCCAAGCCCCCGCCCCTCATATACTGCTTCTCGCACTTGCTGCTCGCGCACCAGAGCGTGCTATCCACGACTGTGGCGCCTCGCTCATCCTGCTGCAGCTCTCTGATGCAGATGGAGGGTGCGAGAAGCGGTTGAAGGTGATCTCTGCAATGCTTGACCAAATCGGCTACGGTGGTGGAGACCTCGAGGCATAGGGGGGCACTTGAGACTGGAGGGCTCCTCGAGTGGACTGGCATATCTGGCCCTCGACTTAGGACAGTACCTTCGTGTCATGCTTGCTGCTACATGTTGCCGTGCTAATTCTTTGCCTTTGAACGTGATTTCGCAAATCATACATTGATTGGTCGTCGTCAATACTTTTCCGAAATGTGCTTTGAAGTGACTGCCCCCAGGCGGCGCTGCGATATGTGCGTACAGCAGTTTTTTTGTGGGCCATGTAGTGTCACATAGTGTGCCATCTTCTTTGGTCTCCATGCATCAGTACTCGCCTCCAGAGTCGCAGGCCTGAGCAAGCTCGTCGGCGGCAGCAATGAGAAGAGAAAACCTTGCGCGGAGCTCGTCAACGTCGAGCCTCACAAACTCGTGACAGCCCGTGAAAAGAAAGTCGAAAGTACTCTGATATTCGTCAAGGCTGGCCCCCGACTCCGTGGCCGTGAGCGCGCCGAGATCTTGCTGGGCTTGTCGAGCCCAAGGATTAGCTCGCTCTGGAACTCGCCCATCTACAAAGGCGGGCCCATCAAACTTGATCGGGCCAAATACTGCAGACAAAAGCTGGGAATTGTCCTCATCTTCACGAGTTTCTGCCACCACTTAATTCGTCGGGTCCTGAGTTCCAAAAACAGCGGGGCAAACCTGAACTTCCTCATCACCTCCTCATGCTTGATCGTCTTGACGTGTCCTCCTCCCTCCTCCGATTTAGCGGTCCCGTGGAGGATGGCTCTGCACTTCTTCAGGATGAAATCTGGAGATGCCCGAGACCGGCTCCTCTGACTGGGCCCGACCCGGGCGCCGCTACTTCTAGTCCCGAGAGGGCCACGCTGATATGCAGGCCCTTGACCATCGTGCGTTTGACCGAGAACGGAGAGTTACTGAACCAGAACTTTCCCATGGAGTGGTACGAGGCTTTGACCGCGTCCAGGCGTTTTCTTAGTTCGGGTCCAGGAGTGAGGCCGACTGCAGGCCTCCGAGATACCTGATGTGGTGCTTGGTCTTGCCTGCAATACCTGCAGCCTCGCCAGCGCACAGGCGTCTCTGAAGAGCGCGGGCACCTCTGCCTCGAAAGTAGCAGACACCCCCCTGCTTCGCGATGTTCTGTCCCGCTCCCACGGCCCCCAGCCCCTCATCTATGGACTGGTTCTCCTCCTCGCTGCCCCTCCTGATGGTCCCCCCCATGTCCCCCTCCCCGTCCTCCAGCACCTTGTTGGCTACATCACCTACGTAGCCCGTGGGGGCGATCTGCTCTGTATAGTCTGGCTGCCACGGTCTGGCTGCTTCCACATACGGGTACCGCCCTTCGAGAACTGCACAATCGGCTACCTTCTCCATAATTGGGCCCGAGTAGCTCTTGCAAAACAACTGCGTGGCTCCTGTGTCGCCTGGAAAGAGGCCAGACTGCGCCTGCTGCCAGAACGAGCCGCCCTCGTACTCTAACAGGAACATGTTGTGCCTAATCCTATACATGATGAGCTTCCTATCAGTAGGTGCATAGTACGCGTGCGCATTGTCGAGTAGGATGTCGTGCCCATTGGTGTAGTGCGCGTTCGTAGCATCATGGCGCCTGAGCGTGTGTGTGATACCAGCTGCCTGCACCCTGTACGATCCTACAAGTTGCACGCCCATGGCCGACTCGCGCCTGCGCCTCCCGAGTCCCCCATGAAGCCAATTCGGCGGGTTCCACTTGGGCTCTTTACGCGCGAGTGCAGCAGCGTGAAACGCGCGCCCCAGGCAGCACATGCCCATGATTAATATCGCCCCGTCGCAGTCTAGCTTGTTAGTATTTGGTACGCGTGCTGCCTGTGCACTATGCCACATACCGGGGAATCTCCGATGCTTCCTACGCGCCAACAGGAGAGCCTTCATCGCGTCCCTGGATCGATCGTTCTTCACGAACTCCTGGTCGAATCCGATGCCTTCGCCGATCTTGGGCTTTCTCTCGTTGACCCACTTCGGGGGAAAAAGCAGGCGTAGTAGCTCTGGTGGCAAGCTCCAACTTGGCCGCGTTCGCCAGAAGCGTAACTTCCATACAGCACGACTGAGCAAACCCCAGTCTTCAGCAGCAAGATACAAAGCCTCCGACTCCTCCGTCGTCCCCCTCCCCTCCTGATCCATCTCGTTGTTGACCTGCATCGGGTGCTTCGCGATTGCGCGGCGCCCGCCCGAGAGGCTGGAGACGCATCCTGTGGGCCCATGCCCTTGCCGATGCTGAGCTGCTCGGCGTCGCCGCAAATCGGCGCTGTCGGGGGCCCCGACGCCAACATGCTAACAGTCTCGCTAACTTCTGAACTAGGTAGTTGTTATGTTCGCGTGCTGCTGCTTTAAGCTCTTGTGCTCGTCGCTCTTGTATTTGCTGACAATATTTCGCGCGGCTTGTCTTATCTGCTTGCTCCTGTGCTGTGTCTGCATGGCAAGTGCTTCTATGTCTCCTACGCGCGCTGCTGATTCACGAAGTCCCCGTTTAGCTTTCAGTAGGGCGCTAACCTCCTGAGCGTGCTGATTGCGG